ACATATTTATAAAGAAAGTTTTTCTTAAAACAAGACACTGGTGGACAAAAACTCTTAAAATATGCTTGTGTCACGAGTTAGAAACATTTTGCTGCCTATAATAAACATAATTGAAATTATATCAACGTGCACATTTCAACAAGTGAGCAACACAAGCGGCAATGGGTGTGGTTCGGCAACTATGACAATCACAAATCTCTGCGTGCTTGTTATCAGGATCCGATGACAATTTGTCCATTTCTGCGTGCAGAACATACTTTACGCTTTGAAGTTACCACACGTGCGAGTCTATTTTTATCCACATTTCTGGTGAATCAAGTCCGTTATATGTTTTTTCGTGTGTAATAAACGTGAGCCGCATTGTTTAATTTTGTAAGAATAATTCATTCTTAAAATATTATGATTTATTGAATGGATTACTATTTAGTGTATACTGCTGTTGATTTGTTTTAATGCGTCCAATAAATGTTTTAAGTAATTCGCGAAAAATCAGTTATCTCTAGATATTTGAATCTTTAAAAAAAGACTTAGGATAGCGTGACTATGCTATCTTGGCGTCTTTATAGTTTTAGCACTGAATGAAATTAGCTTTTGATTTTAAGATGAAAACTACATATTATACCTTGTTTGAATATTTTAAATTTTATTTTGTTATGTAATGGCAAATGTTAGTTCATCATACACATTTAACGTAATGTTTAGTTCTCATCATGAAGTGAACTTTGACAAATAAAAAAACAACAACATTATTTCGTGTCTTCAACTCTGTTAATAGAACAGTTTGAGGAAAATCATTTATTGAAAAGAGGAAATGTAGAGTATTTCTCTCTCGTCTTTCGCCAAACTGTGCTGATTAGAATATGCCCAAGAAAAAAAGGGGACTTTTCTTAATGCACGGCCTGTATACTAAATGAATACATTTGTAAGTTAAGAAACATGGCCTGTATGATAAATGAATACATTTGTAAGTTAAGAAACATGACCTGTATGATAAATGAATACATTTGTAAGTTAAGAAACATGCCTTGTATGATAAATGAATA